TTTTTTTTTTTTTTTTTTTACATATAAATCAGTTTGAATTATTAATTGAGAGGGTTACCAACTAGCTCCATTTTATTACATTAATTATACCTATACTTACAGTTAATATTTGCATGATTGTTTCTGAGAAATGTGGAAAATTATTTCTATTACATCAATATTTGGAATTTATGAACTTATATTTTTTTTACATAAATTTAACTGATTAACAACTGAATGCAAAACCAAATGAAAACACAGATTGATTGAAAACACCTGGAGCTTAAGATCTGCGGCTGCCATATGTCATAATAAAGATGTATTTTATCTTGACACATAAACATTTGATTACTGTGCTCCATTACAGATATACAATGTGTTTCCTTGGCTCGGCCCTTGTCTTAAAAACTGGAGGGTGTTGATGAAGAATGTGGAAAACAACAAGGAGGAACTAAAAAGCAAAGTAGCAGAGCTGAAGGAGACTCTGAACCCTGAGATGTGCAGATGCTTTGTAGATGCATTTCTCATCCGTAAGATGAATCTGGAGGTGAGGTGTCCGACTCCAGTGAATCCACTGCTTGATATTACTGATTAATTACTCATTGTGTATAATCCCTCTTTTCTGTGTTACAGGAGTCTGAAATCAAGGATTCACACTATCATGATGACAACCTTCTCTACAGTGTGTTGAATCTGTTTGCAGCTGGGACTGATACGATGGGATATACACTTCAGTGGTGCCTCCTGTTTATGGCAAAGTACCCACATTTTCAAGGTGCAAAAACGTACCTACATGCTTGTGTTATAGTGTATGTGACCCTGACATAAACTTATTATCCTGATGTGACTTCAGCTAAATGATCTGGCATCGATTGAGATCAAATTTGGTTATGCGAGGAGAAACAGTTGTTCTCATAGCTGGTCGTCTCAATAACAGGAAATCAATGCTGAGGTGACAGGGAACACCTTTTTAATGAGTAATCTCAATTTTATGTGAGTCCAGACCGGGTCCAGGAGGAGCTGGACAGGGTGGTTGGAAGCCGTCAGGTTGGAGTAGAGGACAGGAAGAACCTGCCGTACACTGATGCTGTCATTTATGAGTCACAACGACTGGCTAACATCGTCCCGTTGGCCATTCCTCACAAAACCAGCCGAGACGTCACCTTCCAGGGCTACTTTATCAAAGAGGTCAGTCGCACTGCACATTTGCTTTTGTTAGATAGTTCATTCTCCAAAAACATTTGGTTTTGAGAATTTAAACAATACACCTTACTCTCTTCTTTTGGCTGCAGGGGACTACTGTGTTTCCTCTTCTCACTTCTGTCCTGTATGATGAGAGCGAATGGGAGACCCCACACACTTTCAACCCTTCCCACTTCCTGGATAAGGAGGGTAAATTTATCAGGAGAGACGCCTTCATGCCCTTTTCTGCAGGTATAACAACTTTGCATTGATATATCACAATCCTAAAGATATGATCCAGTTTAACTCGCTGCAACTCTTTGCTCTCACAGGTCGCAGGGTGTGTCTGGGAGAGAGTCTGGCCAGAATGGAGCTGTTCCTCTTCTTCACCTCCCTCCTTCAGCGCTTTCGTTTCACTCCTCCACCTGGAGTCACAGAGGATGAACTGGATCTGACACCAGTTGTGGGCTTCACCCTCGGCCCTTCACCTCATGAGCTGTGTGCCGTCAGTCGCCAGTGAGGACGAGAGCTGGAACCTGATTATCGTTTCTGTGTATTTATTCCACAAAAGGAGCAGAAACTTTCTCCATGCAACCTGTGGTCACTCCAGCACCCATGATGTGGGATGGGATGTTGTGTGAGAATGTTGTGTCGATATTTCACCAGTTAACAACATGTGGCTATATCGTTTCAAACAGGAGCAGTTTGGAAGTGTTTTGAAATGCATGTCATTTAAATGTGACAAAGGGGTCATAAAAGGTAAGATGAGAAAAACATGAGACCAAAGGAAAAGAGAAATAAATAATAAGACAAAACAGTTGTTGTGTTGTCTGTATTACAGAGAGACTACTGTGTATGTTGGTTAACAATAAATCTGAATATTAGGGTACAGATCTAAATGTGTTGAGTTGCAGAAATTCAGTCATGCTCCATTTGCTCTGATGAAGTCCAGTTATGTTGCAGTAAAAGACTGGCCCATTAGAGGGCAGTGTTAGCTCTCTTCTATTACCAGAATATCTACAGCAGTAGTTGTGCAGGCTGTGTTAGAGACTTCTAGTATAGCCAGATACTCATTATGCAGTCTGTTTGCTCCTTGGCTTATGTTTATTGTTTGAAGTTATTAATGTCATTTATATGTGTAAAGTTTGTAGATTTTTCCTGCCCATATTTGGAGGATTCTGTACACTGCACATCCCTGAGTAAACACTGATGAGGAAAACAATAACTTTTGTCTCTTGGTTTTGTGTCCTGACCGACGAATCGCCTCAGGCTTCTTCCAATATTCACACAACATAAAACGCAACATTTCTGTCCCTGACTTTGTTGAAAGGGTGGCTGTCATGAAATAACTAACTAACTAACTAACCTAGTAATTTAAACCTGTAAAAACACTGAATAAGCACTTTCACGTGACAGATCTGTGTTTTTCCGACACTCTTCTCTTGTCGCAGAGGAGCTGCAAAATATGGTAGCAGATGTAAAAATGCAAAAAATTTGAAAACATGAATGGCTCTATCCAGAGACAATTTTGGTTTGTCCATCTTAGGCTACTGTAGAAACATGGCGGTGCAACATGGTGATCTCCGAGGACAAGGACCCTCTCCCCATGTAGATATAGACGACTCATTGTAAGGTAACGAAAGCACAGCGATTCTAATTTACAGGTGATTATACGCGACAGAAAATCTCTTAAGGCCCATTATATTACGTTTGCCAGTATACCCCCCAAAATCCTACACACTGAGCCTTAAAACAAGGTTTCAGTTTGTGAGCTGTTACATATACTGTGTCCCTCTGTGACAAAAGGTTTTTGTTTCTCACTCTGCTCCTGCCTGTATATTCCACACCTTGCATTTCAATTGCTTAATCCTGACTGACAATTTGATTAGATCTGTGAGTGGCTGGCTGACCTGATCATTCACACCTACTGAAGAGGTGAGATCAGTGTGATTCATGGTGTGATTGGTGCAGCCTGTATAAGAGGAGGTGGGGTACTCTTAGCCTACAGCCCCTCCCAGGGAAGTGCCCATGGCAACATAAAAGTTTCAAACAGGTTGAGACTAGAACCCAACCAGGCATGTTTCTCTTCATAGTGAAAAGGTTTTCTAAAAGGAGTCAGACACAGAGGGATTATGATTGAAGATCTCTTCCAGTCCTCCACTTCAGTCTCCCTGTTGGTGGCCATCGTGGGCCTGCTGGTCCTCCATCTTTTCTACTCCTGCTTCAGCTCCCAGGACAATAAGAGGGAGCCTCCAGGACCTAAACCTCTTCCCCTGCTCGGCAACTTGCTTCATGTGGATCTCAAAAGACTCGACAGCTCTCTTCTTAATGTAAGAAATGGCTTGTCTTACTATATAATGACGGAAACTCTGTCTGTGGGTGTGTCTGTGTGTCTGTTCCACGTTTTTCTCTTCACTGACTTGGTCAATCCATGTGAAATTTGGCACAGTGGTAGAGGGTCATGGGAGGATGCGAATGAAGGAATATTACATCAATTGGCCAAAGGGGGGCGCTATAGCAACCGATTGAAATTGCAAACTTTGAATGGGCATATTTCATGCCCCGTATGTCGTAGAGACATGAAGCTTTGCACAGAGATGGCTCTCCTCATTTTTTGAAAAACACTTCAAATTGATCTCTTCCTAGGAAGTCTGACCGATCTGCATGAAACTTGGTGAACATAATCTAGGGACCAATATCTAAAGTTCCCTCTTGGCAAAAGTTGGAAAACTTACTAAAACTGAGCTTCTATAAGGCAATGAATATTGCGGAGGGCGTGGCTCATCACATAAAGGTGTATAACATCTCAAGGGTTTCACCGATCACCACGCAACTTTGTAGGCATATGACCACACATAATCTGAGGGGACCCCTCCATTATTGACCCCATCAAACAAAATGGGGGCGCTAGAGAGCTAATTTCTTATCTAGGCCTAACC